TATGTAGGTTGAGTTCTACGAAATGAAATGAGTACTCATAACAAAACAAAGTCTAGAACTTCGTACATGAAAATCGAGGGCGCGACTGTCAGTTTTCAAGTCTCCATCTTACATAACATTATTTCCTTTCAGACATCTAAAACAAGGGAAGATTACAGCAGCTTCCAGGGAAAGATCTTTCACTTAACACGATTTACTAACAAAAGGTCCACGATATTTCATAAAACAAAAGTTTTACTAAATGTGAGAGTAACTTTACGAAATCCATTAGCTGTTAACTCTAACATTGAAGGAGAAAAGTGATTTCACAAGGATAATTTTCCTAACTCATAATAGGTAGTTACTTTACGAACCAAACACTAACTTTATATGAAAATAGACTTGTTTAGATTGACATAATAAAGCAACATTTTTATTTTTTCATCTTTTCAACGTTTCTATTTCATATTTTCCCGCATTTTTGCTGTCAAATCTGACAGTTGACATAAGTGACATTTATTTTGGGTGACAATGACAAGGAATTTATTAATTAAAAATTCTTTCAAGTAGGTTGAGGTCGGTTTGTACCAATTGTTAAAAAGTTACGATTAGAGTTAAGTATTCTATTTAGACCTACAATACTATTATCTCTGGCAAAGAAGACTGAAAAACTGGAATCTTTACGTGTTTTCTGGAGGCACGTAACCATGAGGTAAACTAAAAATAAATCTTAATCCGAATCCTAGACCTCATACCTACTTCCCTCAATCCACTCGTAAGACATAATTAAATACTAGACTGAATTCTAAGGAATTTAGGCTAGCAGACGTGACACCAAAAATAATTAGGACAAGATAAAATTAATCCAGATGGTCTGTTAAAAAATGGTTGAACAAAACTGATGGTCGTAATCACAGGTCGTAATGTTTATTTGTGAATGAACGGTGTTATACTTTTGGCATGACTTTTAATAATAAATTTTTGTAAACAAATGTGATGTGTGTTGGCAGGGCTACAGAGTTTGTATTGTAAGGCTCAGAACTAAAAGAACAATTTGGTTCGTTTTTTACTGTTTTTTTTTTTACGAAAGCTTTTTGGCCAATTTTACGTTTTCTTTTTTACAAACTGTTTAAGGTGCATTGTTCTTCAAATGATTTTTCTAGTTTAGATCTGAGTATGAGTGTCATTACAGTCATTAGTGTTAATTAAATGGTTTATAATGTGTCAAGATTGTGTAACAATGTTAAGCCTTGCTTGAAATATAACAAATCAAAATCTTGTCACCAAAAAAATACTCATAAAATTATTTTGTGCTTTAGCAAATTTGTACCAATGGAATGAACCATAAACACTATTATTAGGTTTTTTTTCATCGACACAAACAAAAGGCAACGGAAGAGGCATAACTCTATTCTTTCTGACGTGCCTTTGATGTATGGGCTCGGATGAGAAATTGTTTCGTGTGGGTGAATATTGTTTATTTTTCCATTTTTTTTCTTTACGTAACATTTTGTCGCTAATGTTTGATATATCGTTTGTTGTTTTTTTATACCTACTTACAAATTTTTATCTTGCTCGATCTTATTACTTTTCTTTTTATTCGGATAAACTAAACGCAATTGACATCAAAACTGACAGTTCTATTTTTAAAATTCATATAAAGATAGAAGAAGTAACGCACGTTAAAAACAAAAAAACGTTTCGAGAAAACTAAAGAAAAGTGAACAATACATTGATAATGATTTGTAGGTAAAAAAAAATGTAAAGGTTAAAACTTACGCAAAGTAAAGAAAAGCGAAGAATAGAGGCCAATTACTTATCAAAGAAAAGCAGGTAGTGAAATTCTCGTGGGTGTTATAGGACAACGGGGAATGTTTACAGAGAATAGAATGTGTATTCTTGTAGCTCGCTGCTCGCTGACTAAGGTATAGTAAGTATCAAAATGACGATTCATTTTTAACGCGTATACTATTTTGTTTAAAATTTTATTAATCAGAATTTACCGAATGTATTTAAATTATGTTCGAATTTTGATAAAAACAATTTTATGATGAAAAAGTAAAATACATTTTAAAAAAAAGAATTACGATTGAATGAAATATTTTTTACTGTAATTTGTGCGTCGTTTTGTTGATATAATTTATTATTATTTTTATTTATTAATGCTCGAATTACAGTAAGTATTTAGTAATGAACGGAAGGAGGCCAAATTAAGTCTAAAGACATACTTGTAAAATAATTTTAAAGCCCTTTCTCAAACATTATTGTTACATTTGCATACTTGGGGATCGTTTGCTGTATTTTACCAATGTTATTCATGTTGTTACACTTAATGAATACTCGAGCACATTTCCTAGAACACAAAGCATTACGAAGTTGCTCATAATTTATGCTTCTATTGTATCACTAGCGCAAAATAAACAATGAAAACTTAAAGCGACTTACGAATGGTATACGGTAAAGAAAATTTAGTTCCGCTACTCGGCACTAGATGGCGTTGCGCGTCCACGAGCGGCCCAACGCTTCGGAGGAACGCAAAAGTATGTACTATTTATTCAAATAACGTTTAATAAGCGGTGTCAAATTTAATTTTAAGAACAATAAGTTTTTGTTTAATAAATGCTTTGTGAACAAAATGGGTCTGGCAATATCGGTAGGATTTGGTTTCAGCCAGAATCTAATTTCGATTACACAATAGAGAAATTAATTTTCGTTCGAATGTGTTTTGTGTTAATTTTCGAAACGAAACGATACTTAACGAATTTTCCGACACACATTTTTTAATTAGTCGCGTACAAAGACTAGCGCAGACCGCACTCGATTAAAATAACAGAACTTGTTATAGGTTTCTTGGCAATATACCTACCATTTTCTCGAAAAATAACGAATAAACCTCAACATAACAATTGAATATGACAACACTCAATGAATTTTAATAGTATTTAAGGCTACATAAATATATTTCTAAGAAAACGAATACCAGATCGAATAATTGAACGTCGGTCGAGGTCCAAAAAACCGAACAATATGGAAGAATGAAAGTCCAAAATAAAACACAGATAGGGAAGAGATGTCGATAAAGAATATACACTAAGGCTTACATAACAAAAAGATATACAAAAATAATAAATATAAAAGTCCAGAGCAACTAAAATCGTGTTCCGTAGTCACGTTTTCTTAATTCAGTTTGCCACGGTAAACAGAGGCCACTTTCTAAAAAAAAAAAATCGAATATTTTATTTATCCTTTTATTCAATTGAAGGAAACGCGAAAGATCGAATGAACGCATTGAATTTTAATATCATTCATTCATTTGTTGGATTTAACCTACAGAAAATGATCGAAAATTTATGAATAAACATTAAATTTTGTAAGGATTATGTTGATTTATAAAGTTCTACACATAAATAATACTAGGGTACGAAATTCAATTTTTATAATGATATATTCGCAAGCAAAGAGTCTTTTCTTTTATTATTATACTACTCACAGCAGTATTGGCTATATATATGACAATTCATTACTTTAATTTAGGCTATAACGTTTTCCTATACCTACTAAAAAAAACAAGTTAATCGGACGAAATGGAGTATATTTTTATGATTAATAGTTGATAATAAACGAAATAGTGGAGGCGTGGTTTCAATTTTGGAGCACGAATCTATATTAAACAATTTTATGAGTTATAGCATTTTTTATGATACACATCTTTGAATTTTGTACAATACAACATACGGTACTTTATGGTAATAGCAAAATTTTATTATAGGTTTTAAATTTCCGGCAAATTGAAAATGATTAATTGGATTGCATTTCGAAAATATTTTTAGCGTTAATTCCACGTAGGTATATTTTAATCTGTAGTAAACTTTTCGAATGGGAATTCATATCATTATTTCGGTATTAATTTGGTAAATACTATTTATTGATACAAAACAATTTCGCGTAAATATAAATTGTTTCAATTATTTTGGATTTGCAGTTGAAATGAGCGATTAAGACGTCCCTTGGGCCTGAACCGATTTCCATTCAAATGCTATAGGCTTATCTGTTTCATCGGTTGTAATTGGATATGAAATATTAATGTATTGGAAAATTTTGTTTAGCTACAAGTGTAAGCTTATTTGCCGTATTTATGTTAGAACTCGCCGAGCCTCATAACAATTTCAAGATTCTTATCTCCAGACTGCTCGGGATCCTAAATAAACCTGTTTCAGACACAGTTTTGTTTTTTTCTACTTTCTTTACTGATGTTCGGGGCATTAATTTTGTTCTTTGCGCTTTGAAAAAGGAATAAGAATTTTGTTACTGTTAAAGCTGAATATATCTTGTACGTTATTTCATTTTTATGTTCATCAGTGGCCGTTAGCAACAGACCTATTCTCATTTCAAATTCGAAATTTTAAATTTCATCGTGTTCTACATAAAATGCTTCATCGAAATGAACTTTAAATGGCTTTAAATCTCGGTTTTATTTTTCCTCTGTGTGGTCCACTGTCCCCGTAATAGTTTTGGTTTTAATGAACTACGTACTAATTGACGCGGTCGAGTAGGCACGAGCAATAATGTCAAGTTAACTGAATTTGTGGGCGCCTACATCCATTGCCTCTAGAATTGGAAATTTATAACTATTTAATTTATCACTGCGTAAGTGATACTCTATGCGGGCGTCCCGTTTTCAAAGTTAGAACATTTTTAAATTTAGAATGATTGACGAAGGTGCCGTTACAGTTTTTTGTTTCGAATTTGGAACTGACATAGACTAATGATCATGACTTCTGTGTCAAGTTCAAAATAATCAAAATTTTATGCAACCGCATTCTAAAAAGTACCGTTACGATTACAAATGCTCTGTTTAAACAGACCCTACAGTTCATTTTGTTAGAACAAATTATGACGGCACAATTTATCTTGGAACTGTCATAATTACTCAGAATGCAAATTAATGGGAGTAAAACTAATAAATATTCGAGATAACGTAACGACCACAATAAAGGAACTGTTCGTATAACTGTACTTACCTAAAACTACCAATATGAAACACAAACTAATGTACAAGATCATCAGGAATCTTTGGTAACTAATAAACTAATAATATCACACACAGGAACGACAATCATCTACGCGATTGCCGAAATTTTATATCACAGTACACATCACTAACTACACTGTATTGGCCACACTGCGATCCCATCAGGCCATCACATTACAAGCACACACTTTTTGTATACGGGACTGCATTCGGCATCACAACTTTTTCCGTTCTCCCCAACTTTAAAGTTTCGGTCATCGTACGAAATCGATGTCCTCACTGTATTTCACACTTCCCATCACTAAAACAGTATATTATACAAAATGTCAATCGACTTGGAACACTTGTGAATTGTTTAAATGTTTATTGTACGATAGTTTTGGGGACGCGAGCGGCAAGGGTCCGTCCCTCTCGGCTGTCTGGACGTAACTGCGTGAAGTTGGCTCTCATTGGTGAAGAATGCGCCGCGCATGGTTGCCACACCGGCCACGCTTCACTTGAACGCCGGCCGAAATGGAGAGGCGCACTCGAACACCCAATTTACAATAATCCCGTGTATTTTGAAAGCGGTCGCTTAATATAACCAGACACAGAGTCGTGCATTGTCAGTGGCGTCGGCCCCGATCTTGGCCGCTTGTTGCCACGAATTCTTCATACGCTTTTGGAATATGTATGCTATCTCCCTCGCACGAGCTTTCGAATGAAAAACAGGTAAACGCTTGGGGCCAACAACGGTGTGCATGAGATTACGAAACATCCAATTTTATAAATCGTGGTGTTACAAAATTTAACGCATTTTAATATGCATGCAAATTAAACGACAGCTGTGATATTTTCTGTATCATATTCGTATTTTTTTCTTCTCCTATCGAATGACATTAATCGATTTCGTGTATGGTAGTTTCGATTGAATTAATTGCTCGACATAATTGGTCTGTTAATGTTTTACGATGAGGTTTTTTGTTTATGGTATTATCTGTTAAGGCTGCGAAGTAATTTATAGGACAATGGTCAAAATGGCTTCCTAATAGGACTTGGTTGACTTGGATTTGGTATTTAACTATTTAAGTTTTTTCTTAATTCTTTATCCTTATTAATATCCTTGGCTACATTATCATTCTCCTGAATCATCATCTGTTTTTTAATCATTATACCCCAATCAGCACTGTCTTCTTCTCCATTCTCAATTTTGTCACAAACTTTAGAATATCCACAGATATTTATTAACAGCATTTCTTAAACTTCTTTCGTCAATCAAAGGTTGAGTTGGTTAAGGGTTGAGCTTGTGAAAAACGTGCAAAAAAATCATTTTAAAACTTCTTAACCGATGAATCTTCAATGCAAAGCGGACCATTTTTGAGCCGGTTTACTTCAATTACAGTTATTGTTTGAACCTCAGTTAACTTTGAAGTGAAATTGGGTCGAGTTATAATTGAGAAGTCGGCTTGATCACTTTTTCTATTAGCTTCCGAGTGAAGCTAAACAAAGCATACGTTTCTGTTGTTTTAATAGTTAATGGTTTCAAACTACGCATCACTGAGTTTAAGATGTGAGTAAAATTGATGCTGTTGATTTATCATAGATTTTCTTTTTGATATCTACTTTTCTGTATTGTTTTAATTACCTATATAGTTTGTTTTGCAAATAATGTGGTTAGTATGTAGTTCTATTGGTTCTGACTAATTGTTTTCTTTCGCGTGCGTGAGAGAGACTATGAACGAATCTGGTTGCGCTAGTCAGACGTCACAGGCATTTTTTGTCCTTAAAAAACAGAATATATTAGCTATCGATGAAGTTACTTTTACTAATGGTTGCCAATTCAAAAAACAAGATACAGGGTTGTTTCTACGAGACAAGCTTAAAAAGAAACAGAATCATCTACAAGCAACATCTTGATGACAATATTAAGTTCTAGTGTCAAAATTTTAGCACTAATTTACATAAGTTGCAGTTCATCCATTTTGGTACTATCATCGTTCGTCCTATTTTAACCCTTTGTACTGTACTTCATATATTTATACCTGTGAATGTAACTGAGGGGTCACAAGTAACCGTTTTACCCTTCCCTGGTCTTTTCTAAGCCCTTTGTTAACCAGACTCAGTGACGCACGATCTTTTTGAGTTTTAACTTTTGAATGCAAACCTCTTTCAGAGAAAAGTAAGTAGATATTGAATATTCTGTTCATACAAATTTAGAGAAATTTGGATACCTCTTTGGTTGATATTGTTTTTATTATCTTTTACTTATTACCATGATGCAATATAATGTCGTTTATTGAGGCAAGAGGTTGGAAAAAGTGCACTTTTTAACAGTAATGTTATCAGGCCCATATCTGCTGTATCTATACTAATATTATAAAGAGGTAAAATTTGTAAGTTTGTATGTAGGGGGTAATCTTTGGAACCGCTAGTCGGATTGCCAAAATTCTTTCACTGACAGATAGCTACAATGTTCCTGAGTGCTATGCTATAAAACATTACGCTACGATCAAATGGAGCTGAGCAGCAGGTGAAACCGCGCGAGAGTAGCTAGTATTTTATAGAATTTACCATGCAATATGTTTATTAATTTCTTTATGTATTAACGTATTGTTGTACCTTATTACTTTGTGGCTTGTCTTTTGTTTTTGGTGCCAAATAACTTTTACCTGTTTTTTCTTTTTGTTGATGGATGTTGTCTTTGGCTCTTATTGTAATATTTTACAAAAGTAGCATACAGTGCACAATTTCCTAAAGTAATGAAATGAATACTTAAATAAAATCTATTGTGCAAATCAATTTATTTTATTCTTATTTCAATTCATTTCAAAATCTAACATTGTCAATCAGACCTTTACTGCAGTCTGTCTAAACAAGGAAACCTAACCTCGTATCTTGACCCTAAGCACTAGAACCTAACAGAGAGGGACGGGATTATAATCGACACTCCCTATCTCTTTCTATTCGTTTGTGCAGTCCGTTTTGCTTTACAAATTAGTCGTGGGGCTCTCATTAGTGACTAGTTCATTCAATGTTTTGTGCAATCTTTGTGTGTGTGGGTGTATAGCCTTTTTTCTTTTGGTCTTTTTGGAAACAAAAATGTGAGTTTTTTTCGCGAAACTGCAAGGTAACGTGGTTTTATTAACGCAGCCTTCTCTTGTGATCAGTTATTGATAAAATAAATATAGGCATCTATATTTTTAGACTTTGTGTTGATCATGAAATTGATATGCTTAGTTATCTTCGAATCCAAGATGGTGCCGTCAGCTGTTTAGCCTAATCAGGATCAATTAATAAACTAATTCAGAGTCTCAGAGAGCGCAGAATCGGATCTTAGTAACTAGAATTCCTTTCCGGATTAAGACAAGCAAAATTAATAGCAATAGGATCATCTATACTAATATTATAAAGCGGTAAAATTTGTAAGTTTATATGGAGGGGGTAATCTTTGGAACCGCTGGTCGGATTTCCAAAGTTCTTTCACTGAAAGATAGCTACAATGTTCCTGAGTGCTATAGGTTATAAATTATACTTCTTTGCGTATTTTAGTCAAGGTATTACTTTTATACGCGTTTGTCAAGTGAAAATCATCAAATGACTTCTCCCGTTCAGGGTGAGGCGAGAGAAAGTGTCAGACTCTTACTGACTAAAACTCCGTTCCTTCTCCTGCTCTGGGCTGAGGCCGCAGGCGGAAGCTAGTCCTTCAATGTCAGAGACTTGTAACATAGCTGGCGCCATCTGTCGACCAGTTACGGAAATCATGGTGCATATCAATGCAAGCAATTCCAGTCTCCAATGTGTATTCAAAGTTTAATTACTCTCTTGTTTAAATATTTGCTTAACCTACATATTGTTATTGTTTCTGTGATATAATTATTTATTTTATTGTTTAAATACCAATCAACCATGCCATCCAATATTTGCTCATTAATTTCTAGAGAAATTATTAATTACGTTAAAAAAATCCAAATCTTTGTGTGATCCACAAATTGTTGTTTCGGGTTTCAGTGGTTTGTGTATGTGAATTTGTATGTTTGTAAAACCATCTACGATAAAGTCTTAATCCGTATGAGAAAAAAAATTACAAATTAAATTTAATACTCCGTCCAAAATATGTATAAATTTTTTTATGTGATTGTTCGGCAAACGAGCAAACCGATTACTTGATGGTAAGCTATCAGCGCCGCTCATAGACACCCGCAACAACGGAGGGGTTTTTTTTTTTTTGTGAGGGGAAAATCATCAAATGACTTCTCCCGCCCAGGGCCGGGCAGGAGGGAGTGTCAGACTCTTACTGACTAAAAACCCCCCAGTTCCTTCTCCTGCTCTGTGCCGAGGTCGCGGTACCTTATTGCGCTTACCCCGCAACCCCGGCTGCTTACCCCGCAACCCCGGCTGGCTACTTTGTGTTGAGAGTTAGTACGCGAGTCGTCGAAGGACGACGACGACGCGATTCACTGCTCGACGACGACCCCGAAGCGTACGCGATCTTTTTTAAGGAAGCGCGAAACGCACTGGGGCGAGCAACAACGGAGGGGTTACGAGTGCGTTGTCGACCTTTTGAAATTAGGGATTTGGATATTTTGGGATTGGGGAAGACGAAAGATTGGGCCTCCGGTAACCTCGCTCACACGGCGAAACTCAACGCTTTGGTTGTTTTAGGACGAATTTCTTTGACACCGTGGTATCACACCGGTCGAGGTGACCCATTCGTGCCGAAGCATGGCTCTCCTACAATTGATTTCGTTGTTTTTATACCTCCAAGCCTCCACAAATCAGACGGCAGGACTGGGGAGATATGTGCCGTTCTACTTATCCCTTAAAGAGATACTATGACAGATGTTATTCCTCTCGGAAGTATGATAAAGTAACATGACAACCAGTAAAGTTGTCACGTCGCTACTATCTCAGGAATAATTGTTTTGTACTAAATCAAAGCGGAAAGATTACAACTAACTCCGTTTCTGAACTTCGACGGTCACAGGGTTAGCAAAGCGTTCAACGTTTCTAGTAATTTGTATTAGATTTTGAATTTGTAAAAATACGTTAGTTTTTAAAGGAGTTCTATCTCTAACTGCTTCTTAGGAATCTCTAAGGAAGTACTACTCCGTTCGTTTTTTTAAAAAAGTAACGATTAAGTTTTTTTCTTGTTCTTCTCCATTCGAATCTACAATTGGGAACCAGCTAGCTTTACTAACGAACAGACTGACCGACTACTATTCTATTTTGACGTTCCAAAAGTAACTATTTATGGTTTAGTAGGAATAAGCGATTACGACTTTGAATTGAAAAAATCGTTAGCATTTTGTTTTAGTCCATTTATCTAGAACATCACGCTTCGAATAAACATTAAAATACAAGTTTAGTATCACACTATTAGCGATCAAATCCGATCAAATTACTCAAAAAAGTATAAGGGACACAATTTAAAACCACATCAGAGATAACCACCACCAAAATTATAA